TCTGGAATGGATAGGTCGCTTGAAGATTACCCGGCGATTCGCCCTGGGTCGGCCTTTCCCAATCTCACAATCCACACACTCACCGACATATCTTTGTACACTTCGGTACAATCCTCTCCAGTGAAAATGGTCCCGGATCCGATCATAAGTGCGGCCGATCCCTTGATGTCCACCTTGGAGACTGGTATGATAATGGTGTAGGCCATCTTGATGCAACGTTTCAGGTAACACCAGTCGCATCAATTTGTCCCGATCCACAGCCGATTCCTTTGTAGTGGGACAATAGAAAAGGAGATCGTGCTGATCCACTTCGTAATTCATAGCGACGGATCCGCAAGATCTGGCCTCTTCCTGTGTCAGATCGCGTATTTCGCCCACCAGATACTTCTTCAAACGGTGGATCCACGCCTCCTCCTCCTGTGCCTGCCGAATCCGCTCGATCCTGAGCTCTCTGATCACTTCTTCGCACAATACCGGGGGGTTGGATCCTGAGCTCTCTGATCACTTCTTCGCACAATACCGGGGGGTTGGATCCTGATCTCACGCCGGATATGGCCTTCGATCTAGTAGTAACGGCCGAGATGTGTACTGCTAGATCTTCTCATTTCACCACCAATAGCTCATCTAGTCGATTCAATGTCATCAGATCCTGAATCTCGCTATCGGTTTCGACTTCGATCCCACATTTTCGTTGCAATGCAGCACTAGCCAGGCTATCTTCACTTCCGTTCCAATCTCGCTTCACATGTACCAACTCATGATCCGGCCGGATCCGTAATCTGTCCAACGCCTTTTGTCTTAATAACGTCAATCCAGGCGCCTTACAGTCGATTTCGCTTCTAACAGGTTTGTGGCGCCACAGATCACCAATCGCAGCGGATCCGTCCCTTCCAGCAAATCAAGACATAACAAGAGGCCGTGATACTCAGCCTCATTGACAGTCAGACCCTTAGCATAACCGGATCTGGCGCCTTCACCACAGTTCTCTCAGGTAACTTCCACAGGATCGCGCTGTAGGCGTCTCCACCTCGCTTGACACGGGCGGATCCGTCAAAGCTAGCGACATATAGATCCTCATCCGATCTCACTGTCGCGATCGGGGCTTGAATTTTGCGCCTCGGTTCCTTCTTCGGGGCGATCGAGATCAGTGCTTTGTC